ATTGTGAGATTCTCTTCATATGAAATGTCCACAATAGGCAAGTCCATAGAGACCGAAAATAGAGTAGTGATTACCAGGAGCTTGGGGGAGGGGGAGGGGGAAGTGACTACTGGATACCAGTCCTCCTTTGGGAATGATAAAAATGTTTTGGAACTAGACAGAAGTGATGGTTGTACAACATTGTAAATACACTAAATGCCAATGAATTATATACTGTAAAACAGTTAAGTTTATGTTACATGGATTTCATCCCAATAAAAAACAAAACTGAAAAAAAACCCCATAGTACTCTCATTGTTTTTTTCATTCACTTCATCTTTTCATATTAATAGATACTTTTATGCAAGTTGTTTTAATGGCTGCATATGTGCCCCACAGCACAATGAGTCCATTATAGAACACAGTGTAATTTAACCAATCCCATATTGTTTAATATTTAGGTTGTTCCCAAATTTTTACTATTACACACAACACATTACAGGCATATGTCAGCTAAAAATAGAAAATAATTTTAAAATAAATAAATAAATAAATAAATTTAAATAAAAAGTAAATAAATAAAATTTTAAATAAGAAGTAAAAGAATAGAAAAAAACAAAATGTTTTGAATATGAATTGATCATTCCACTTCCTCTTCTCCAACTAATCTCATAGGGCACCAAAGTTAACATGCAAAAAAACAGAGTTTAAAAAATTGTTTCTTCATGCTGTACACCAGAAATTGACACAACATTGTAAACTGACTATACGTCAATAAAAAAAAGAAAAAGAAAAAAATAGTTCCTTTATATTACTTTAAGTTTATATCAACTCATTCCTTGCATGAGTAATATTAGTATTACAAAAAGAAAACCACAAACATAACAAAGATTACACAATGTGGAAATCCCCCAGTCTCCTTCAGGTGACCATTATTAAACATGGCATGTATGTCTCCTGATTTCTTAATACTGACATATGGTAACAGAATCTTCATTTTCTTTTAGTTACTTCATCAAATGTCACCTGCTTTGACAAGAGGAAATAAATGCAAAGGCTTTAGGCAGGCAAAGTGACAGCACACAGAGGAACCTGTCTCTGTGTCTTGGTGGCTTCTAAGCCACCCCAAACCAAGTGGCTTAAAACAACAGAAATTTATTCCCTCACAGTTCTACAGGACAGAAGTCTGAAATCCAGGGGGGAACTAAATGACCAGGATTGTCAGGCTGGTTGAAAAGAATCTGATTTTATGTGGCTTAAAGAAAACGTGAATCATCTGAAATATGAGAATACAGGCAATCTGAAAGTAAAAGGATAGAAAGAAACATACTACATAAATATTAACCAAAAGGAAGCAGATGTGACCATATTAACAATTTTATTAACAGATTAACAAAGAAATCTTATAGGCAAAGCATTACTCTATACAGAAAGTTATATAACAATAAAAGATTGAGTGCATCGGTAAAACAAAATTATTTGAACTAATACTACAGAATACGTAAGTTCTAGTCGCAAATCTTAATATTCTATTTATGAAGTTACAACAGCCACTTATAAAGGGGCCTTTGATTAAAATTTGGTTTCATTTTCAAACTAACTTAAACTTCCCTAAGCCTTTAAAATAGTATCTGTAATATTTAATACACTTGATTTTATTTTTAAGCCCTTCAACTATCTAAGCAAAATGTTGGTTTGAGGACCCTGAGAAGGGTCAGATGCAGAGGAGGCTGGAGCCTCAGTCAGGCTCCGTCACCAGGCAGCGACTGCTCCCGCTGCCTAGACCGAGAAGTTACTGTGAAGACTTGTTCCCCGAGTACTAGAGGAACCGACAGGCGCAAGAACATGCGCAATGCTGTCACCGGTGTGGGTGTGGGTGGGGGGTGGGGGGTGTGGCGAGTAGGACCTGAGAGAAGAGGCTGGGGGTGTGGAGGGAGGAGGCAGGACACCAGGTGACGCTGGAAGCACAGCCGCTCAAGGGAGCTGGACCTTCCGCCTCCAGCCCCAGCCCCACCCCACCCCCGCCTCCCTGGGCCCGCGGGCGGGGCTTCCGGTGGGCGGGGCCTCCAGAGCCGACTGGAAACCGAGAGCGGCCGGCAACCCCAGCACCACGCGAACGGGATCTTAGTTATCAAGCTCACTTGGACCTTCCATGTAGGAGAGGGAGGCCAGAGGTTGGAGAATCACCCGTGCGGATTTTGAAATCACCAAGAACTGTGACAGGAGTGGCTGGGGAAAGTGACAGGGAACCAGGACTAAAACCTTCAGGGAGCGCGGGGGAGGTCCCCAGGGCTGCAGGCGACTCCAGCAAGGTCAGGTCTGATAATAAGGTGGGGTTCAAAGCTGGGGCTTTTTTTGGTGAAGAGGAAACCGGTCTGAAAGTGCCAAGGACTAGGGACAAGGAAGCTCACCTCTCCCCAAGAGCAGTGGCCAAGAAGAGTGGAGGAAAAAGCAGCGCCCATTGGAGCTAGCAGGGAGGTGGCATCCCAGGGTTGGAAGGAGATTCTTTCACCACCCAGAAGTTGGGGGGACATGACTTCCCACATGTGGCGAAGTGTCCACACCCAGTTCCGGAGAAGAATGTTGACAGTGCCCAGACCACGGGGGAGGTGCTGTTGGGGGAACTGCCCCCACTTGTGAGGCATCAGATGGATGAGGGAAGGTGTGTTGGTCCATGGCCTGTAAGGGTGGAAGCCACAGGGGGTGAGAACTACCCTTGAATCTCCAGCCCCACCGTTGGCATCCTGGTCTCCTGGCCTCTGTGTCCTTCATCTCTATGCTGAATCCTGGACTCCCCTGCCCTTGGCCTCTGCCACTTTGTCATTCCAGCAAACACTGATGAACAACTCAGCACCCAGTTCCCATGCTCCAGGAGAGAACCTGAGACGGTTCTAGCCTGGTCACTTGGTCCCAGCTGCCTGAGTCCACACGCTGCTGTCCCTTGGCAGGAGAGGAGCGAACAGCAGGGTGTGGGGGTGCAGGCAGTGGTCCATGGGTCTCTGATGTTCCGGAGTCCCTGTGCCAGTGGAATGCTGAGGGGCAGGGTGGGAATGCCACCCCCATGTCAGAGGTTGGGAGGGAGGTGTGCACAGACAGCACTTGGCAGGCCTCCAAGGGACATTGTCTGAATGTTTTTGTGTGGAACGCTGGTCGTGGCAGCCAGATGTGAGGAGATGCCCCCAACCTGCGCCTGCCACAAGGCTAGAGCCCAGTGTCTGGCCTGGAAATACACCTGTCTTTCTACACAGGTTCCCCCACTGACTTTCCTGCCTCAGCCCCCTTGACCCCTATACCCAGTGGCCAACAGTGGGCCCTGGAGATGCCCTGAGGCCACCAGCCAACTGGGACTTGGCCCACTCAAGCCTGATCTAGGAGGACAGATAGCTGGCCTTTGATGGTTTGCAGAAAGCACCTCATCAGATGGGAAGCCAGGGCTCAGAGCTCCTGAGGCTCTGTAAATGCTGGAAAAAGGAATAAGGACAGGAAGAAGCAGGGGTGGGAGGGAAGGGCCAGGGTCCAGGGCTTGGTCCGTCTTAGCTATTCCAGTTACTCCTGTTGTGTGACAGATGCCCCCAAACATCACAGTAACAACTGCCCTATTCTGTCAATTGAGAATTGGAACAGAGCACACAGGGGCAGCTGGGAAGACATGAAGTGGGGAGCCCTGAAGCTGTGAAGTTGGGGTCACCTGGAGGTGACTCACTCACCAGCCCAGCAGCTGAGATTTCTGGGCTCTTGGCTACAATACGTACACGAGGACCCTCCTTAGAGCCTCTCCTTGGGGCCTCTCCAGGGGGCCAGTCTAGGCTTCCTCAAAGAGGGGCAAATGGGTTCCAAGAGCAGATTTCTCAGGACAGCAAGGTGAACATGTGTGGCATTTTTCAGGTAGAGCCTCAGGACTCACATCTCACCGTTGCCCTGTGTCTGTGGTTGATGTCATCACAAGTCTCACCAAGGACACACCATAGGGGTATCTGGGCTGAGAGGCACTGTTGGAGCCACCTCTAGGAAGGGCAGTATTCCACACCAAGGTGTCAGCACCATTTCCCCACTGCAGCCCAGGACTCTCCTCCCTACGCAGAGCAGGGGGGCCCCTGCAGCCCCCAGGAGACCTGTGGGTCCTATCAGGGATCAAATTCAGATATGAAAGGCAGAGAGGAGATGACCAGAGTTACGAGGGCCCAGAGAGACACAATCATACAGACAGTGGGGGTGCAGCCCTGTGAACACAGTAAGGAAACTCATGTTGCTCTGGGCTACAGAGGGCTCCTGGCTGGGGCTGGGGCTGGAAGGACCAAGACACAGGCCCCCAGAGGCCCTGGGTGGAGGGCATCCCTCCCTCTCTGGCAGGGGTCTGGGGATGAGCTGGGGGGGTATGGCTCTCAGAAGGCAGACAGTGCTGTGGGGCACAAGGCAGGTGAGTTCAGGTGGCTCCTCCCTGCCTGTCTCAATCTCCCCCAGGCAGAAACAACTGTAGCTGACTCGTGCTGAGCACTTTCAAAATAGGATCTCATGTATCTTCCCAGTAACCTGGGGATAAACGAAAGGATAGTTCATTTTACAGGTGAAGAAACAGGTAGAGGAGGGTAAGTGAGAACGTCTAACCACTAGGAGGGAAAGAACGGTCAAGAACGAGGCTCCTCAGGACTCTCTTCCAGTCTGAACCCCCTCTGCGGCAGGCTGGGGGCGACCCAGAGCTCATCCAGGCCAGGTCCCAAGCACCCGGTCCGCCGCGGGCTCCCCCGACACCTCCCAGATGGGGGAGGTGGCGCCGGTGGCCACTGGGGGCACTCGCGGGCTTCCTCTCCCGCCTGCCGCGGGCAGGCTGCAGTGAAGGCGTCGCGACCCCCGCGGCCTCATCCCCCTCAGGACTGATCCCAGCCGCCCTGGCACCGGCCCCGTCAGCGCTCCCAGGGCTTTCTGTGCTGGCAGGGTCCCCATGGCATGTCCCTTCCCGATCCAGACCCCTGCAGCTCTTCAGCACTCATTGCCCTGCACGCATGTATCTCTGGGGACCCGGGTGGGGAGTGTGAGGCCTGGCCTTATCAGTGACAGTCCAGAGGCAAGTCGGATGTAGCCGCCTCCCGCCCCACCCCGAGCGCCCCCGAGGACTGCGGAGGGAAACAGTTTCGCATCAGGAGCTTCCAGAGGGTTAGACCAGGACCAGACAAGGATGGCTTTGGAATGGAGAGGAGGCGTTTGCACTGGGGCCCTGGACTGGGACCCTGGGAATGGGTGCTGGGGCAGGAGCCACCTGTCAACGTCACCCACTTGGTAAACCATAGCAGCCGATGTGACCCTTCTGAGCTGCCAGTCGGTCCACTCCGCTGCTCACGAAAGGCAACCACGACTCCCAGATCCCTCCCCAGGTCAGAAGCCCCAGATCCCTACACCCTGCCTGCCATGGCCCCTCCTCCCTTGGGCTCTGTGGTCCCTTTCTATCTTTCTGTCCTAGGAATGCTACTTCTCTCCCCGACTCCCCCCGCCCCCCACTCCATCTTGCAGAGCTGCTTTCTTCCCTGGAGACCACCCAGTCAAAAGAAGGATTTCCTTTCCCCCAGCAATCTACCTATTTCTTTCTGTCTCTGGCAACCGCGTCATTGTTTTGTTTGCCATTGCTTTCCCCATTGAATTAGAGCCCAGGAGAAACTTCCCCAGCCTCAAGGGCAGGCCAGACCCACCGTGGGCCCCAGGAAACATCTGTGGGATGCAGACGAGACTGCCGCCAGGCCAGACTGGGCTGGACATCTCCAGCACTCAAAAGGTGACAGTGCCCTGCAATGTAATTCAAAATGAAAGCAGCATCAAACACGAAGATAAGCTTAGCCCTGTTTCCCAATATGCCTCTTTGCAATAACAAACACAATTTTAACAAGTTGCTCTCATTTTTTTCTGAGCCCTACATTGCTGGTGCTTGGCTCACTGTTGGGTAATCTGGAAGAGCATGACATCACCAGCCATGGTGACATCACCCTATCTGGCTTGTGTCATCATCCACCTTCACCCTGAGACATCACCTCTGATTATGTGGAGACATCACCAACCTGACCAGTGACATCCTTACATTCTGTTCCATGACGTTATTCCTGCCTGACCGATGCCAGCACTCTGCCTGCCCTGTGGCGTCACCTTCCTTGGTCCTATGCCATCGTTTAATCGTCCTGTGATGCCACCCTTCCTACCTTGGTCAGCTGACCTTTCTCCTGCCACCAGCTTGTGTTCCACGTCCACGGGCCTGTGTAAGTGCTGCAGACGGTGGGGGTCAGATTCAGAGACTATGCAGAGGCCCTAGGCCCCTGGCGGGGTCCGAGGATGGCGGAGGGGGAAGCGGAGTGGGAAGCGGAGGCATGTGTGCAGAGGCTCGCCAGCTCCTGGGAGGCGCCTCACCCGGCTCCCCTCTCGAATATTCCTTTCAGATTGCCGGCGCCGCCCCACCCTCACCCCGCCCTGCTCGGCCCGAAGGTGAGCCCCGCCCCTCCGCCCTCCCGGAGGGCCACCCGCCTGGCTCACCGCTTTGGAACTCAGGAGCGGGCACGGCGATTTTCCCGTCTCGGCCCAGCGTTGCCGGAGGCGGGCCCAGGCAGGGTGCCCCAGCGCGCCTTTGTCGCCCGCGGGGTTGGTGGGCTGGGAGCGGACGCGTGACTGACAGTTGGCAGGGACGGCGGCCGGGGGCGGTCTGCCCCGCTCGGGGTGGGGGGAGTGAGGAAGGAGCGCAGCGGCTCATTGGCTGGCCCGAGTGTGGGAAAGAATGCCGAGCGGGGTTCACACATCCCGTGGCGGCCCTGCCTTAAATAGCCGGGTGGCTGGCGACGCGCGTTCGGTCCAGGAGCCTAGGATCCTCTAGAGAAGGACTTGGGAAGCCTCGTCTTAGCCCGCGATCGGCCCCTGGCGGCGCGCTTCGCCGGTAACCGGGAGGCGCGTGGGCGCACCATGCCCGCAGACATCCCGGGGAAGTCCAGAGCCTCGCCGCTGGCGGGAGCTCCGGCCAGCGCCTACCGAACCCCAAACAAGCCCCGGAGCGCGGCCGAGCACCGAAAGGTGGGGACCTGGCCGGGCGTGGGTTGGCAGAAGTGGGAGCGGGGAGAGGGAGACTGACGGACGCGGGACTCAGCCACTGCCGGACCCGCAGTCCTCCAAGCCGGTCATGGAGAAGCGGCGGCGAGCGCGCATCAACGAGAGCCTCGCTCAGCTCAAGACTCTCATCCTGGACGCCCTCAGGAAAGATGTGAGTCGGGGCGGGGGGTGAGATCGCGGGGCTGAGGCGCGGAGCCTGGAATCAGGGCACTCCTGGGCGGCAAGCCGCCCACACCGGCCCTGCCCCCAGAGCTCTCGCCACTCGAAGCTGGAGAAGGCAGACATCCTGGAGATGACCGTGAGGCACCTGCAGAGCCTGCGGCGCGTGCAGATGACAGGTGAGGCTCAGGCGGCAGTGGCGAGGGTTAGCGGGCGCGGGACCACCGCCACGAGCACTGACCGCCTGTCCCCTGCCACCTCCGCAGCTGCCCTCAGCGCCGACCCCGCCGTCTTGGGCAAGTACCGAGCCGGCTTTAGCGAGTGTCTGGCTGAGGTGAATCGCTTCCTGGCCGGCTGCGAGGGCGTCCCGACCGACGTGCGTTCTCGCCTGCTCGGCCATCTGGCGGCCTGCCTGGGCCAGCTCGGGCCCTCGCGCCTCTCGGTTCCAC